AAACTGGCGTGATGGAGATCGAACACCAGCGGCTCATGTTTTGCATAGCCTGCGGTAGTAACTCCCACACCTTTGCGCAATGCGACAATGACGTCGTCACGCGACAGACTGTTGCACGAGGCCTCGAAGCCATCAAGACCAACCTTCTTCGCTATATCCTAGATCAGATCGTCATCCAGCACGCTCTCAATCCGCTTCAGCATCTACTGCCCAGAATGACAGCATGGACGTTGATGCAACAGAGAATGCGAGTGCAGCGTCTTCGGAGCGAAGGCCAAAGGCTAAAGCCCGACCACGTCGTGGAGGGGAAGCCGTTCGAAGCGACTTGATATTGATCAGGTATGACAATCCAATGGGCCCTGAAAACAGCCAAAGAGCCGTTGACGTCATAGAGGAAATGTCCGATGATCGGGATCGTCGTCTTCACCAACGGGCAGAAAGATCAGACTTCAATTCCTTGGAGTGAGGGTGAAGGAACCGCCTGCCGGGCCTACTCCTCTCGGCATTGCCAACTCAAGGGGCCTTGTTGCGGTGCGCGACCAGATCCACGAGATCCAGATGAATGACCACGCTCGAAACCAACAATGCTACCTCAGACAGTGTGCGATGGCTGGGTTAAACCCTGGGCCCTGCGTGCTACGAGTGGTCACTCAGCGCATTCCAATCCGGCGAACAACTTGCTTCAGCTGGACAAAGACAAGTTCGCGATCTCTCCTTCGATGAGTCTATTGGGCCGTCTGGGAGGAGCATTTCATGCGACTGCATGTCGAAACATGGAGGTATCATACCTGGCTCGGAAGGCCCCTTCGGGGATTCCGACCAGCGTCATCACTCATGGGAGCACGGACGTCTCCACAGCTACTTTGGAATCTGCGCGCCGTTCGACAGAAAGAATGCTACCACGAAGACACGGGTACATGGACATGGCAATGAACGCATGCCGCTCGCCGTACTTCATGTTCCATCTGGCGACCTTGTCCGAGAAGGAGGACGGATCACAGACAGTGGAGTGAAAGGCCAGTACCCTTCTCCTTCGTCAAGGAAGTTTGGTTTTGCGTCCCTGATCCGAGGGACAGCCGTTCGTTTGCCTTAGTGGAAAAGATCTTCGATGAAAGATTGGAAGACGAATTGGTGTTGGAATTCAATTCTTCTCCACTGTTACCAGAGTTCGATCGGTGCCGGACGCCGGGAAGACTCATGGAATTGCTATGTGAAATGCCATCTGGTCCTCACAACACAGCGAAGGAGCAACGACCATGTTTGCCTATGACAAGACGTTGCAGTTCCTCGATCCGATGACAGAAGACATTGTGGCATTCCTGAAGGCATGCGCTCCGAGGGAAGACATTGTGGCATTCCTGAAGGCTTGAAGGCATGTGCTCCAGTTGCCTACACGGACTACGGCAAAACGGTTTCTGATTAGGGTGGTCTTCGCGCAGCTCCGTATCAAGCAATCGTGTACGCTCAATTGGCATGGGACAGGGCGTACAACAAATAAGGAGAACTTTGCTACATCTGCTACTATGACGCTGGCAAGTCCGCGTATGCAGGATTCATGAAGTCGATCCTGACCCCGGAGGACAGGCGAGGACTCTACAATCGGGTGACCGATCCCCGTAAAAAGCTTCTTGGTGACACTCTGGAACTAGCGCTCGGAATCCTCACTCTGGCAACAAGACTTCCCAGTGCATTTTCACCATTGGGGTGGATCGGAAGGTGCCAACGCCTGTGTGCGGGGCATCGAAAAATCAATCTGGCGGTATGCAGCGGCCGAGATCATCGAACGCATCTCCGAGACGTGATGGAAGGTTTCCACGCGACAAGAAGCAGGAACCTGCAATCCATTGTTGAGAAAGGCATCCTGCCTGGTTCGAGCCTCGAAGGCGATCACGGATTAAGGCATGAAAAGCGGGAAGACTTCACAGCTGCTACGGCCTCTTTGTTCCATGGGATCTTCGGAACACTACGGCAAAGAACAGAGTGACCGGACGAGGAAACTGGAGAATGCCGCTGGTTGTGCTACACATTCCCTCGACCGATCTCGTCCGACAAGGAGAAAGGGTTACGGACAGCGGCATCATCATTGTCAATCTACCTTTTCATATCGTCAAGGAGGCCTGGTTTTGCGTACCAAGCGACAACCGAAGAAAAGATTTCGTTTGCATTGAGAAGATCATGGATGAACGGGTGAAAAGGGCAAAGGCAAGTCCTGGACCCCGCAAGTCCGCAAGAACGTGAAGGTGAACGTGAGCGCTGCCGACGTTGGGAACGCGACAACTGGTGAGAGCTGTCCGAACATGGCCAACAGCCAACATTGTGACAACTTCTACCCGCGCGTGATCTCTCATCACGGCCTTGTTCTTCGGTGACTTTTCCTCTTCAATGAAGCTTCAGGGGATCGCGCCGACGTAGCGAAGTGTCACAACCTTTCTAATTGGGAATGCAAGGCTCTTACCCAAGAACGTACCAAAGTTGCTGCGGAAACTTGTACTTTTCGATCTCGACTCTTCCTATGTGACTCATGCCGGAGGCATCACTCATGGGGGGTGCAAACGGACGTCGATGCCTAGTCCAATCGTAGCTATCGCGACCTGAGCTATGTTATCCAATGTCATGAGCAATCACGTACATAAGAGCAAGAGACCTGCGGTTCTTGTCTCTAACTCTTCGCGGCATACTCATGGGACCGTATTCGGACCATGAGCTATGCTCCGCATGCAATGCAACTTTGGCTCAAGAACGAGCAATAGTTCACATACTTGCCAACTAGCGAAGCTAGCTAGCTTGACCAACCTACAGAAGGATTTGAGCCATTCCCGTGCATAGACAGATCGTCACTCTGCTGCGAGACGCCAAATAGAGAGTGAGCCGAATTTGCCTGCAAGGGATTGGAATTGGGACAGAAGAGTGCGTGGTATCTACAGCTCGTCAAGGCAAACCACACCATCAGCACAAACTCTGGTGAGGGGAGCGAAAATACCGTATCAGCGATACCGAACCCTCACACAGCATACCACAAGCCCACATTTTTATTGTCCGGCCCACCAAGTCTTCGCAACTGCAGGCAACCTCTCCACGAAGCATTCCCGGTGCACGGGCCTGCTTCAGGCGTCAGGAGGCAGCCTCGCCTAGTGTCTTTGCGTCCTGTAGTCCAGTACGCGGCAAACGTCGAGAATACGAAGCTGCAAATTTGGCAATGGGCAATGTTTCTTGCTGCTCATTCATGTGGAGTTTTTTGGAGGGATCAGATGGGTTTGGCTCGAGAGCTCCGGTCGGGCTCGAGCTTTTTGTCGGGTGTCCTCCTTTTCTAGCGTACAGACGGCGTACAGTGTTTAGACGGAAGCATTAAATCAAGTCTTTTGAGGGATGCAGCGTCTAGACGGAAGCCGTGAAATACGCTTTCCCCACTGTGCGACGTCTGTTTCGTCCTGCCAGCATCTCGTTCTGAGGTGGCAGTGGCATTTCCAAAAACCCAAGCCCTAAACCCGAAAGGCACGAGATCTTAAACCCCACACTGTAAAGCCTAAATCCGTTTGCCAGGTGAACGTGGAGATCAGCATCGAAGACTCTCGAGAATTTGATTCGCATGGCGGCTGATCTGCCTTCCTGGGGACGTTGATCCTAAATACCCCAAATGCTAGGCCCTACATCTTGAACCAAAGCAACATCTGGAGGCAGCCTAGCCTAGCATCTGGAGTCCTGTACAGGGAAGACTTCGAGAATACTGTCTCTCACGTGCAAATTCGGCCATGGGCAATGTTTCTTGTTGCCCATTCATGAGGAGTTTACTGGAGATGTCGGGTCCCTGCTTTGAGGGCCATTATAACCAAGAACTTGTGCTTTAGGTTCTTTGATATTCTGCGAAGGCAGCTGCGACATGTTGACATCGTCGCACTCCTACCGCATGGTTCCCTGAAGGCAATTCAATTGGCCAACCGAGGGCAGTTCATGGGGTTTTCGAGCTGTATGGCGCAAGAAAGCCTTACCGTGCGTCCTTTGAGGAGTTCCTTTTGCAGGGTTCCTTGAAAGGGTTTAGGGTTTTGGGTTCCTTCGAGCGGTTTAGGGTTTAGGGTTTAAGCTTCCTCTAAGGTACTAGGGTTCCCCTTAAGCGTTCTATGAGGGTTTTACAAAAGGCTCTTTTAAGAGTTCGTTGAAGGCTTCCAGGAGGGCTCTTTGACGGTCCCATGGGTTGTACAAGGAAAGGAAACCAGTTTTTGTTTTTGTGGGGGATGTAGGGACTTAACGGCATCAGTTGCCTGATGCATCATGTTGTAGCAGTAGGTTTTGTGATGTGTGGGTTAGCGAGGGGGATGCAAGATCCAGAATTGAGGTGAATGCCTATGGGTCAACTTCCTGAGTCCAGGATTTGCACGCGCTGTGACTGCTTCTTCCTATGATGCATGTGGTGCATGCCGCCATTTTCAGCTGCACCCATCTGTAGATCCGAGAAGCTCCGAATTATGCAAGCCCCGTCGGCCGCCGAGCTTCGGAAAGCTCTGGACTAAACCACGCATTCGAACAATCACAACCTCCGTCAATCGAACGTCTTTGACCTGAGCACCGAGTACTTCGTACCCTGGTCATGCAAGATGCAGAGAAGCGCTCGAAGGTTGTTAATGTTTAGGCCCATCAAACCCCTAGGCCGAAGATGCAAGACTCCAAGTTCCGAGGATTTCAGCTGCAAATGTTTCGACGCCGCAGACGCTGGCTTCAGGAAGGCTTCAGCCCATGTTGCAAACTCCGCATCGCGATCACTGTTTCAACGGAGCAAACATCGAGTAAAGTTTGAATTGTGGCTTAAACTTGTTGCCGAGGCTAAACTTGAGATCTGCATTTGGTCTGCCACGGACCGAAGTCTTTATTTTCGAGCTTCAAGCCCACACTTTAAACACTCCCGTCCCAAAGCTAAGATCGCAATCCCGGGGCGACTAACGCTCTTACTGAAGACTCCGCAACCCCTCAATTCCCCTCCATCCGTGGGCAGCTGTCCAGCGGAAGCCATGTGCATCTTCTGCGAAAAGGCCAAGAGCGAACTGGATGGAAATTTAACTGCCGCACAGAAGCGAGAGATCGAGTCCTGCGTCGACCCTCGCCTGCCAAGATTTCGAAGGTCGAAAGTTGACACGTCTTGTTCGATTTTCGGGGTCATAGCACCAGAAATGAAGCGGACGTCCAGCTGCAAATTGCCAGCAAACACAGGCTAGCTTTAATTGACACGACTCGACTGAGGACTTGCAGGAACGGCGCATTCGGGCCACCATCCTCACTGGCTTCCTCGGAGCAGGGAAGACTACCTTCCTGAATTTCGTGCTGAAAAGCCGCTGGGACGCATGACTCATGGGCAACAGAAGGCCGCTGGGGATTCGTGAAGCGCTGCAGCTTCCTTGGCGAGTTGGACCAGCCCGGGGTTGCCTGTGTCATTACTTGGATAAAGCAGGTTAGCATGTAGACGGAATTCACGTTGAGGTGCCTCCGATTCATCCCGACTGTAATGAAACGGTGTGCCTGAAGCTGGACAGCCACGAGGTCTCGGGCATGGACGGCGCATTGCAGTTGTTCAGAACGAGTTCGGCAAGGTCCCAATCGATGACCAACTCATGCTGTCCGTCGCTCAGGTCATTGGCAATGGAAGTGGCGGTTTTACAGCTGTTTTTTGTCCTGCGGCTTAGTGGTGGGTGACGACGAGACGGCTGAGTGGCCTCCCTTCCCGCCCTGCGAGATCCAGTGTTGCTGACTGAGTTTCTCTGAGGCTTGAGAAGTCTGCCGCAGAGACCATCGTGATGCCCAACGGCTGCCTTTGCTGCCGAGTTCGTGGAGACCTGGTCGATGCTCTGAGGCGTCGACGGTGTGTAAAGTGAACCGTCTGTGATGTGGATTCTTTTGGTTGTTCCCACGACTTCACCGACATCCTGCTAATTTTGCCCTCAATCGATACCCCATGCTACACACCGCAAACACGAAGCCCGGAGGCCGTAAACTCCGAATTCCCACGTCTCCGACACCAGAAACACACCTCTTACTCGAGCATGCTATTCAACATCTATGGTCAAAGACCCTAGCAGTTTTGGATCACAGGCCAAGAGCCAGGTTTCTGATTTTCTGCGACTTCATGGCGTAGTAGAAGTGAGCCCACGAAACAAAAATCACCAAATCCCTGAACCTCGCCTAAACTTCAGGATCTAAGGAGGAAAGATGCGACATAAGAAGTGCGATAACATGATAGAACGAGATGAACGCCGATAACGCCTTTACAAAAAACCCTCGCAGAAGTGCAGATACTAGGAAAAAGGGTTCTCGTATTTGTACGGGGCTACTGTAGTATAGTAGTATACTCTAAAATACCAAATACTTTAATTTCTCGCTAACGCGACCCCGCCTCGGCAAAGGTAGTCAACCCGCCAGCCCCCCTTCTCCCCCCCGCCCCTCCCCCCCTCCACCCCCTCCCCCCCTCCTCCCCCCCTTCAATTTTTGCCTCGCAATGAGAGATTCCCAACCTCCGAGCTGCCCTGCAGGCGCCTCGCTGATGCTCCGGAGACTTTGGCCGCCGAGGCGTCGGGCGGCCAAAAACTGGACTCTCTGCTTCCTGCCTTCATGTGCGGATGGTTCTGGGTTTTAGCTGTAGAGATGAGGATTCAGGATTCTGATTTCAAGGTGTTAGGGGGTAGGGTCAGGGATCAGGGAGAAAGGAATACTAATGACGATGGTGACGATGGTGATGGTGTTGGCCATGGTGGGGGTGGTGACGATGATGGTGATGCTGGTGACGGTGACGGATGGGCATGCTGCTTCTGCTGATGCTGAAGCCGGTGATGATGGTGAGAAAGTGATTGTGAAGGTGCATGGAGGCGGCGGTGTTGGTCAGGGTGATGCTTGGGTGAGGACCTGGAAGTCGGGGTTCTGCCAAACGACCCCGTAATCCTCTGAACTGCCGTGGACAAAACCTGCATAGATGAGAGAGAGAGAGAGAGAGAGAGAGAGAGAGAGATATATATATATATATGGGCTGCCGCCACTGCCGCCGACCCCAAAAGAAGAGAGGTGACTATCCAAGGAAGGCAGCAGGTGTTGAAAGCAGCCAACCCTGTTACGGAGGAAGTGACATGAAATAATAAGATAGGGCCTGCAAGTCTTGTAACTGGCACGAGTAGCATGAGCACATGACTGATGCGGCGAAGTATTCGGACTGACGCAGTGCTCAGCTCGTGAGGGCGGTGAGGGCGGTGGGGGCGCAGGGGGGTCCGGGCACACATTGGCAGCCTTTAAATATTCTTTAAAGACCTACAAATACAGCAGAGCGGTGGTGGAGGTGGTGAGGGCGGTGGGGGCGGTGAGGACGGTGGGGGCAGTGGGGGCGCGAGAGGTCCGGGCACACATTGGCAGCCTTTAAATACTCTTTAAACCTACAAATACAGCGGTGAAAGACTCTTTGAACAGAGCGGTGGAGGCGGTGGAAGCAGTGTAGGGGGTGGTGGAGGTGGTGAGGGCGGTGAGGGCGGTGTGGGCGGTGAGGGCGGTGGGGGCGGTGGGGGCGCGGGGGGGGGTCCGGGCACACATTGGCAGCCTTTAAACTCTTTAAGGTGGGGGTGGTGAGAGCTGTGGGCGGCGGAAGCGGTGGGGGCAATGAGAGCGGTCCGGGCACAAACGGTGGGGGCGGTGGCTGGGGGTGCTGGAGGTTGTGAGGGCGGTGGGGGCGGTGGGGGCCCGGGGGGGGTCCGGGCACACATTGACAGCCTTTAAATACTCTTTAAACACCTACAAATACAGCAGTGAAAGACTCTTTAAACAGAGCGGTGGAGGCGGTGGCTGGGTGTGCGGGAGGATCAAGCGGTGAGGGTGATTGTACAAAGGCAGGTGAGTGGTGAGGGCGGTGGGGGCGGTGGGGGCGCGGGGGGGTCCGGGCACACATTGGCAGCCTTTAAATATTCTTTAAACACCTCCAAATACAGCGGTGAAGGACTGTTTAAACAGAGCGGTGGTGGAGGTGGTGGGGCTGGTGAAAGCGGTGAGAGCTGTGAGGGCGGCGGAAGCGGTGGGGCCGGTGAGAGCGGTGCGGGCGAGGGGGGTGGCTGGGGGTGCTGGAGGTGGTGAGAGCGGTGAGGGCGGTGTGGGCGGTGAAGGCGGTGTGGGCGGTAAGGGCGGTGGGGGCGCGAGGGGGTCCGGGCACACATTGGCAGCCTTTAATCTTTAAACACCTACAAACACAGCGGGTAACTCCCCTGACAGCACACTGGGGGTGGCGGCTGTGCTGGAGGTGGTGAGGGGGGTGAGGGGTGAAAGCTGTGAGGGCGGTGGAAGCGGTGAAGGTGGTGAAAGCGGTGCGAGCACAGTGGAGGTGGTGGCAGTAATGGAGATGGTGGGGGTAGTGAAAACGGTGGGGGCGGTGGCTGGGGGTGGTGGAGGTGGTGAGGGCGGTGAGGGCGGTGTGGGCGGTGAGGGCGGTGGGGGCGGTGGGGGCGCGGGGGGGTCCGGGCACACATTGGCAGCCTTTTTATATCCTACAAATACAGCGGGCGGTGAGAGCTGTGAGAGCGGCGGAGACGGTGGGAACGGTGAAAGCGGTGGAGGCACAGTGCAGGCGTGGCAGTAATGGAGATGGTGGGGGTGGTGAAAACGGTGGGGGCGGTGGATGAAGGTGGTGGGGGTGGTGAGGGCGGTGAGGGCGGTGTGGGCGGTGAGGGCGGTGGGGGCGGTGGGGGCGCGGGGGGGTCCGGGCACACATTGGCAGCCTTTAAATACTCTTTAAACACCTACAAATACAGCGGTGAAAGACTCTTTGAACAGAGCGGTGGAGGCGGTGAAAGCGGTGTGGGTGCGGACACCTCTCGGGTTATCACGAGCGCCGCCCGCACGGGTCGGCGGATATACATACATATATATATATATATATGTATGTGTATATATATATATATATATATATATATATATATATCCCAGAAGAACAGAGCCGCGAATCAGCCTTCCCGTGCAGAACTCCACAAGGCAGCAGCTTCGGAACAGCAACAATCACTAACCTTCCTCAGGTTGCCGAGTGTCGCTCTGGTGCAACTCCCTAACAATCAAGGCCGTAATGCTAAACCACTCGCTGAGGCTTATCGAGTGCTCTGGCCTCTCGGAGGCTCACGGGTTCAGCTTCTTCGGAGCGACTTTCTGCATTTCTCGCGGCGACGGAGCTCAGACGAAGACTTTGGGGTCGGGGTTTCGTCTCTACCCCTACATTCAAAAGCTCGGAACCGCAAAGCGATGCTGGGAACCTGAGGCCCCTGAAGTCCTAGCAGCCTAGGCTCGGAAACACCTACGGTACAAGCTTTAAT